TGGTCAGAGAGTTCTGAGCCTCTCCAAGAGCTGCTTCCACCTCTTTTCCCAGCTCCATGCCCAAAGTAGGAATGAAATCTTTAAAAAGATAAATTACAGGAGTGCCAGACCCACCCCTTTGCTCATAAAAATGTAACCGGGGAGCTGTGTCCCCCGAGACCTCCTGTGGGGCTTTGGGGCTCAAAGAACCCTCTCCAACCAGATGAAGAGGGATGTTTTTCCAGGACTCCCTTCCCTGGGCACAAACAGAGCTCAAAAGGGAGGAGTTTTCACCAAATGGTGGCCGTGGGGACATTTGTGCCTTCAGTACCTTCACTGCCAGTGTGCCCCTGTTGTCTCAGAGCAGAAACTCCTTAGGATGGACCCAAACTCTGGTTTGTTTGTGTAGGGCTTGTCTTACAATATAATGTAAAAGTACATAATGTAAAAATAAATATAATGTAAAAATATATAAAAATATAAAATAAAATATAGGTAAGATTCAGCCATTTTTAGGATTGGGATGAAACCACTGCCCAGCTTTTCCTGCTTCCCACTGGCAGGTCCACAAGAGGATTGATGGCTGCTCCCAAACCCTTTTGCTTGTGTCCATTTTTTTGGAAAGTCCTGCTGTAACAGGTAATTAAAGTATCCTAATTGAATGAAGATCCCATCTGTCTGAGCCCAGCGAGCCAACGAGTCCCTTAATTAAGAGCTCGTGTTTGCCACAACAGGGGCTGAAGCAGGGCCTGGGAGAGGCCAAATTCCCTGTGCCCGGCACGGAGCCAGGACCTGGGATGGCAGCGATGACCCTGCAGGGCCAGCTCGGCAGGACGAGGCACTGCCAGGGCAGGAAGGTGCTCTCCCCCAAGGATTCCCCAGGGCCCAGCCCAGGACAAGCCCTCAGACACGTGAGGAGGTGCAGACGTGTCCTCGGCAGTGGGAGGTGAGTGCAGCAGGGAGTTTTATTCCTCCTGGGGGAAAGTTGCCCAGGCAGGAGTGGGGATGAGAGTGGATGTCCCTGGTGCCGTTTGAGGGCAGGGAGACACCTCTGGCAGGGGATCCTGGCAGGTGGGGAGCACAGCAGCCCCCCCTCCTCTCCCTGCCTCCATTCCCTGCGTGCCAATCCAAGGGCAGGATGGGGGGACACCGGGACACCCAGTCCCGCCCGGATTGTCCCTTCCCCCTCAACCCCCCAGGCTCCAGAGCCGGGAGGATTGTGCAGCTCCAGAGCACAAACTGAATTATTTAGGACATGTTTTAGCGTGAGCAGGTGTGGGGGGTGAGCTGGGAATTCTCTGCAGAGGAATCAGGCTCTGCTGGGATTTGAGCTGGACAAGTTTTCCACTCCTGTCGTTCTCCAGCTGCCTCTTGACAGCTTTGCCTGGTTTTTACAGGCAAAATCCTCGTTCCTTGTGCTTCCCACCCCCTGTGAGTTCCCCTCTCCCCTTGTCCCTCTGTTCCACCTGCCCCTGGACGCTGAGGGGTCCCTGGAGCACTGCAGGATGCCCAGTGCAGGTACCAGCAGGATGTGGTCCCTCATCCCAGGGAACCTGGAATAATCCTGCACACACTGACAGAGAGCTCAGCCCCTCCTGAGGAACCAGATGCCACTTCAGCTGGAAACGAGAAAGCTTGGCAGGAGGGAGGCTGGCTTTGGAGGGGGTTGGGTGTGGGCTGGGGGACTGCTTTGTGGTTTAGTCTATTTTTATTTTATTTATTTTTATTTATTTACATTTTTATTTTATCTTTCATTTTATTTTTAATTTTAATATCTTTCATTTATAATTTTTACAATTTCAAAAATTTATTTAATTTTCATTTTTGTTTCACTTCAACATATTTTTAAATTCCTATTTAGTTTAAAATTTTATTAATTTTTTTTGTTTATTTTTAAATGCATTTATTCCTTTATGATTTGATCTGATCTTTTATTTTAATGGAACATCATCCAGTGGGAGGTGTCCCTGCCCATGGCAGGGGGTTGGAAGGAGGTGATCTTCAAGGTCCTTCCCGACCCAAACCATGCAGCGATTCCATGTCATTCCACGATTGGATTTGACTTGTTTTCCTGTTTTTAGGAACTGGGGGTGTTTCCCAAAGCCCTCCGAGCACAGGGATGGACACACAGGCAGCTCCAGGTGAGTCACATCCGAGCGGATTTGGACCAGCATTCCCTAAAATCCCTCCCTGCACCCCCAGAGTGTTCCCAGCCCCCTCTGGGTGTGAACATTTGCCCTGTTCTGCTCCAAGGGCTGCTCATTCCACACATCCCAGATTTTCCCTGCTGGTGGTTAATCTCAGCTCCAGCCAGCCCAGCGTTCCCAGGGACACAGGGAAGGGCTTTTGGGGGGCAATAAATGCTAATTAACACTAATTTAACACTAATTAACAGGAGCTGGGAGCAGCCCCACACCCTACGCTCCTGGATGAGTCTGTGCGAGCCAAGGGGGGCTGAATTATCCTTGCTGAGCTTAAATGGGAATATTCCTGTTTTTAACAAGATGGGAACATCCTATTTTTAACAAAAATCCAAAAATCACTACTGCTGGTTCTTTTTGTGTCCGTCTGTAATCCAAGGAGGGGACCCTTCCCCACGATCCAGGTGGGAGCAGCAGGGACTGGAGGGAAGGAGTGACTGCATCGCCTCCCTCCTCCTCCTCGGGCTTGAGGAAAAGCAGGCATTTGGGGAGCAGATGGGTGCTCTGGGAGGTCTGGAAAGCTCCTCAGGCAGAAGTAAATCCTTCCTTCCCACCAGGAGCTCCAGGCCTCGCTCCTGCAGCACAGCATGTTCGAGCCGAGCTGTCCCGGGGGAGCGACCGCCCGGCTCCTCCGGCGCTTGGCCCGCTGCCATCCGGAGCTCTCCGTGGAAAACCAGCCTGGCTGCTCAGCCCCGAGCCCCGGCGCTCCAGGACAACCCAGGATTTGAGGCAGGTGAGCCCTGGGAGAGGTGCCAAGGAGGGGCTTTTCCTCTGGCACCCGCTCCCCCCTGCTGCTTCCCCGGGGCAGGAACAGCGGGCGGGTGTTGGGGGGGTGACAATTCCAGGCTGCGGCTCCTCTCCTGGAGAGCCTTGCCCTCTGCCATTAATTGGAGGAAAACAATCCGAGTCCTGCTGCTTTTGGGGAAATGTTGGTGTCTGTGGAGCAGCAGCTGGTGCTCGGCTCCGGCGGGGGAGCGGCGGGAGGAGGAGGGAAGGGCTTGTGTTTGGGTTCTGGGTCTAATTGGCAAAGCTGTAATAATTCTTCCATCAAATACGTGATGCACCCAGCCCACTTGCATTTCCAGTCTAGGCTGTGCAATAACAAGCCATAACACTGGGAATTTCGTGAATAATCATTCCTGCTTCCCTCCCCTTCGGCCCTTCCAGCGCCGTCCCCAGAAGGCAAATGAACATGATCTTCGTGGAGAGAGATAAGGCAGCCCAGACAGAGGCCTGGAATAACTTGGTTAAGTTTATCAGAAAAGCCAATAACACCATCAGGATTTATGCCCAGGATTTAAGATTCTGGGAGCGCTTGGAGAAGGAGATGTGTCCGTGTGGCCTGCGAGGAGGAGAAGCTCTGCCCTCAGCAAAGATGACAGAGAAGAAAGGTGACACAGGCTCTTAGGAGGACTGGAAGGGTTCCCTGGAATTTGGGGGATTGTGGGGTGGAGAGGGACCCCCCCATCCTCACTGGATCCATCCCAAGATCTTGGCCCAGCCTGGCATGAGCCACGACAGCAGAATCAGATCCAAAGGGGCTTTTGTGCCCCCAGAACCAGCAGCGCTGGTGCATCCAGGAGCCACCTATGGCTCCTGGAATGGGGGATTACAGGGATAAAGGCTTGGATGAGTCACCACAGCTCATCCAAGTCCAACAATCTCCATGGAGCTGCAGCATCACGGCAGCTCTGCTCCACAAAGGCCCTGCTGGCCATTGGGTAATTTGGGCATGAAACCATAAAATGGGCTTGTCTGTGTTGGGAAAGGTCAGATCCAGGCTCATCCTCACCGGCTGAAAAGGCCAGGATTGTCCTGGCGAGGAATATTCCAGGAGCTGTGGCGTCACTGGAAATTTGGGGGGGGGACAAAAACTTGAATTATTTGAGCTTCCAGAGCCCTCCAAGCAACCACACCCACCCAGCCACAGGAACTTCAGCACCACCATCCTGGAAACCTCATCAGAGCAAAGCTGGGAGGGGCCAGAAAGTGAGTGAGGAGGAGACCTCGTGAAATCCAACACAACTCAAGGTTTTCAGTTGGGTGCCAACATCTAAACCTCTAAAAATCCCATTTGGGAAAAGTGAAGAACCAGAGCCTGCCTGCCTGGAATGGTGCAAAGGGACGTGAGGCCCCAGAAACCCACAGAGAGTCGGGTTTGGGTTGAGCTGGGGCTGCTCAGTCCTAATTATTTGTTAGGATATAGGGCAAAATTAATAAAGGAGCACGTGGACTGCGAAAATGAAGCTTCCCCGGAGAATTGCACCGGCATTAGACAGCATTTTATGGAATCATGGAATCATTTAGGTTGGAGAAGACTTTTAGGATCAGCAACACTCCCGAGCCAAAGCTGTTGTCACATCACTGTGATCTCAAACCTGGAAGGAGGCAGGAGAGGTGGGATCCACCACCTGGGGAGATGCTGGCGTGGTTGTATCCCTGCAGCAAGCCCATCCTGGCTTTTCCCTGACTCATCCCAGTGCTGGGAATCCTGGCCAGGCTGGTCCTGAGCTCTAATGAGCGCAATTAACGCCCGGGGGCTGCTGATGGGCTTTGATGGGAGGGTGGGGTGGGCTGTGCTGGAAGCCAGTTCCTAAATGTGCAGGAGCCCAGGTCGGCTGGGCTGGGAGCCTCGTGAAATTTAGCTCAGGAAGGGCTGTGTGGGGAAGAGAGAGGAGTATTAACGAACTAAAGAGAGCTAATTAGTGGAGAGGAGCCATCCACGGATGGCAGCGGTGAGCAGGTCCCACCAGGGCCTTGGAGACAAAGGGAGCAGCATCCAGCGAGCTGTCAGAGGGAGAAGGGGCTGCATTTTAGACATGGAGAGAGGCTCTAATTGCCAAAATGCCTGGGAATCCTCCCGTGGCACTTGGCTGAGCCCTGGAGTCAGGCAGGGCTGGAAGTCTGCTCGTTAGACACCACTTCATTTGGAGGGACCTCTGCAGCTCCTGGAGCCTCACTTGGGTAAATCCGAGCCCCTCCCACCCCCAAATCCATTTTCTATCTGCAAATGGGGAGAGGAGTGAAAGCTCAGATCCTTGTGTTACTGCAGCAGAGGCAGGGAAGGGATTGAATTCCACCCGGGAAGCAGAACCAGCTCCACGGCCGACTCCCACCACACTGCACAGCTTGGGAACACCCCCAAAGCAAACAGGCACAAAACCAGCAGGTACCAAACCACCCAAACACACCTGGGCCTCACCTCTAGCAAAGGGATGTTTCCCAAAGAGTTGGTGCAGCCCCTTTCCCTTGCAGGTTAAGGGGGCCAGGGGGGAGAATGTTCAGCCGATTCCAGGGTGAGGATTTTTCCCTCTTGTCTTGTTTGTGCTCCAGCTGGGTGAAATCCCGCTTTCCTGAGCACGGGTTATGACTCTTTTAGCAGGAATCCTCTTCTCCCAAGCCCGAATAATGGCCCGTCCTGGTCTCCTTAGTAACTGCAGCTGCCACATCACTTTTGACAGCGGAGCATCCTTTGTATCCTGGTTCCCGCCGGCTCCCGGCGCTTCTTGCACTGGCAATTGTCTGGAATTTCTCCAAATGAGCAACTTTTGTGTGTGTGTGGAGGGGGGGGAGGTTGTTTGTGCTGCCAGAAAGGGGCTTTTTGTGTTTCCTTCCTTGAAGTCAAGTGGGAGCCTTTGGGGGGGATCACATTTACTGAGGTATCTCCTGGTGGGGTCCCACCCCCCCCACTCCCCAATCCAAGTGCTGCTCCTGTTATTTCTGCAAACACTTTCCCAAGGCTCTTTCAAACCTCTGCAGGAAAAGTCCTCTCGTTGATTATGGCACTAAAAGGCTCTGTGGATTTTGGAACCAGCTCCTATCTTGCTGTAGGTGTTGCACCTCCTGAAGCTCTGCCAGCAGCCAGGAAACCTCCCTGAGCTGTGGAGAAGGAATTTAGTCTGGGAAAGCTGGAGCATAAAACCTGTTCTTGGGGTAACACCCGTCCTGGAACTCTGGGCATCCAGGGGGGTTTTGGAGTCAGCCTCCTGCTCCTGGGTGTGGGAGTTTGGGGGGAAAGGGAACCAGGGGGGAGAAGCAGCTTTTTTTTGATCTTTTCTGTAGAAGGAAATGTGCCAAAAAAAGTGGGAGACTGAAGTTTGGATGTCTGGGGAAGGAGAAGAGTTTGGGAATACCCACATAGGTGTGAGCCTGGAGTTTGGATCCCTGGGAAGGGGAAGAGGTTGGGAATACCCATCAGAGGTGCAGGACGAGCCCCTGCACAAGCAACAGCAGCCAAATATCCAGGTGATAGTCCAAGTCCTGGTGGCCCCCAGAGCTGGACCCCATTCCCAGTTCCTGGAAGGACCGGGATGGAGCTGGATTTGGACAGGGATCACAGCACTGCCTCATTCCCAACCCCACCGCTTCATTCTCCTGCTCCTCTGAGGACACGGATCATTTCCAGTAAAAACACTTGGCCTGCCCTGGTGCCACCAGGAAGATTTTATTCCCTCTCCCCAGGTCAGCGTGGGGAGGAGTTTCTTTTCCTGCAGAGTGGATTCCATCCTGCTCCCAGAGCTCCAGCCCAGCCCCTGCCCCGCGGGGTCAGATCCGGGCAGGGAGAGCTGTTGGGATCGGACACGGAGGAGATGGAGGGAAAACACATGAATCAGAGCACCAGGGGAGCCACATGAATCACACCTTGTGTCAGCAGCCCTGACAGGCTCCTGCAGGACTTCTCTGCCCAGGAAGCCAGTTCCAAGTCCACGGAACCCCCCAGGGTAAGCGGGGCCGGGGTGGCACCCTGGGACAGTCCTTCCCACCCATCCCAGCTCCCTGTGTCCATCCCAACAGCCCTTCACACCCCAAAGTGCTGGGAAAACCACCAAGGCGGTGGGAAAACTCATCCCCAGCTCCTGCTGCTGAAGAACTGGGCTGGGGGAGAGGAGGTGGCTCCAGTGGTGCCTTTGTCCCCCCTGAGGTCTCTCTTCCCTCTGCTCCAGGTGTGACCCTCCCTCTGGAACCCCCTTGGCCTGGGGCCACCAACCCTTTGGGATCACGTTGGCCCAGACCTGGGCAAACCATCCCTTATTGCACCGAGGAACTCGAGTCCTGCTCGTGGCTTCCTGTCCCACTTCCCATCTCCCAAATTCAGCCCTTGCCTTTGTGTCTCCAAGGACCACAGATCCAGGCCGGGCTTAGCCTAAAATCCCTCCTCTTTGACATCGGGAAAGATGGAAAATTCTCCTCTTCCTTCCTCACTTCTGGTTTCTGGGGACCGTCCTTGCCCACACAACCACCCCCCATCCCTCCCCCCGCCCCCCAGCCCCGCCTGTCACCGCGGACACCCCGGGGGTGTCACCCCGACGGGAAGTAGGGAACGTCGCTGTGGTAGTTGTAGTCGGGACACACCTTCTGCACCAGCCTGTAGTCCGTGCTGTAGAAGGTGATGTAGATGCAGATGACCTTGAAGGGCTTGGAGCAGGCCCAGGACACGTGGCTGCGCGTGTGCTCCTGCGAGCAGGTCTTGGCCGGGTCGAAGGTGCACAGCGAGGTCTTCCTGGCGCGATCCACCCTCTCGTGCTCCACGCGGCAGTTGAAGATCTTGGACTCCTTGGCCTCGATGAAGATCTGCTGCTCCAGGTCGAACTCCACGGCCTTGGTGGGCGGCACGAGGCTGACAGAGATGTTGCCCTGCCCGGTGGAGTTGTGCTGGAAGAACACGTTGACGGTGCCGTTGCCGTGATCCACCACCTTGCCGGTGATCAGCAGGTTCAGCTTCACCGTCTTGATGTTGGAGTAGAAATCTCCCCAGCCAAAAATCTTCTTGAGCTTGCCCGAGGCCGGCCCCAAGTCCCTCTGTGCCCTGGGCTGTGGAGGCTGCTCCCGCTCCGACAGGTTCTCCAGGATATCCCACAGCTGCCGGGAGCCGCTCGCCAGCTCCAGGAGGGTTGTGTTCTGCAGGAGGGTTGGGGCCACGAGGGGCTTTGGGAAGAGCAGCTCCCTCATCTTCTGTGCTGGGGCTCTCTCCTGGCTCTGGGCTTCCCGCTGCTCTGCACCTTTCCCGGGATCCTCTGGACCACAGAGCACCTGGACACGGCAATGGAGGAGCGTGAGAGAAGGGGAAGGGTCACCGGGGCCACTACCCCCTTCCCCAGCCCTCCTCTTCCTCACCCTGGGTTCCCTGGCTTCCCTTCCCTCTCTGTTCTCTCCCTGTTCCATATTTCCCTTCTGGCAGTTCTTCCCTGCCCTCGTTCTCTCAGGGATGCTCAGGAATGGGTGGAAGGAGCTGGAATGGGGCCAGTTTGCTCATGGCTGGTGCAGCCCGGCCGTGGCACCTCAGGGCAGAGGAACCCTTGGGACACTGGGGAGAGGGCACTGGGGGGGGATGCCAAGGGGAGGGTGCCCACCTGGTGACCTTCACACCCACTCAGCACATCCCACGGCCCCTCTTCCCACCTCCAAACCTGCCACGGGCTGGGGACACGCGGAGCTGGAGCAGAGGGACAGGACAGGGGACAGGACAGGGGACAGGAGTCCTCACCCGGGGAGTGCCCTTTGCCTCCGAGGGCTCCTCTGCAAACTCCGCTCCCACCACCGGCTGGGACCCCGAAATAACCCCAACCAGGGGCTGGGGGGGCTGCTGGGGGGTCTGGGAGGTGCTGCATCCGCTGGGCTCAGTGCTGGGGGGCCGAGCAGACCCCCGGGGTGATCCTCCCTGGCAGAGGAGGCAGTGGGAGCAGAGGGAGCAGAGGTCGGAGCCGGGCTGTGCCCCCCGCTCTGCCCCAGCCCGGACCCCTTGGGGTGGGCGAGCTGCCCCCCAGCAGCTGTGCCAGGACTGCTGTGCTGGGGGGCGGGGGTGCAGATTTTTAGGGTGATCAGGGGCTTTCTTCTCGCCAGCCCTGCTCAGCACCCGCTGCCAAATAGCAGAAGTTTTGGGACGCTTGTTTTTTTCCAGGGTGTAGGGAGGGATGGACGAGTGGATTTGGGAATTGGTGCCAGCTGCCAGCAACCCCCGTCCCTTCGCCAGCGCGACCCCCGGCCCCTGCAGCCCCCTTTTCCCTTCCCTTCCCCTCCCCAGCGCTCACCAGCAGCGAGATGCTCCCCTGGATGAGGAGGAGGACGCAGCTCCGAGGAAGATGCATTTTCCAGCCGGTGCCGCCGCCTTCTCCGCGGCTCCGAATTTGCGGAGGGTTCGGGTGCGTTTTGCGGCTTTTATTTATTTCTTTTTTTTTTTTTTTTTTCCCTCCCTTCTTTTTAAGCGAGGGACGTCAGCGAGGGGCAGGGGGTGTCCCCCTGTGCCAGCGGCTTCCTACGGCTCCCCCCGGCCCATGGTGGCTCCGGCAGCTCCCGCCCCGTTGTGCCGGGTCCGGGCGGCGGGAGGCGGCTTCACCTGCTGCCGCTGCCGCCCCTGCTTGTCCTTCTGCCCCCTGGCCCCCTTCCGGCCCCTCTCCCTGCCCCTCTGCCTACCCCTCTGCCTGCCCCTCTGTCTGCTCCCCTGCCCCTCTGCTTGTCCCCCTTTCCTTCCCCTCTGTCCCCCCCGTCTGCTCCCCGATTGTTGCTCCCCTGCCTGCCCCCTGATTGCCCCCCTACCCCTCTTCCTGCCCCCTCCCTGCCCCTCTTTCTGCCCCCTCCCTGCCCCTCTTTCTGCCCCCTCCCTGCCCCTCTGCTCCTCCGCCTGCTCCTCGCAGCCCTGTCGGAGTCTCAGTGAAACTCCGCTCCGTCCCCTCCTCGCTCCATCCCCTCCTCGTTCCCTCCCTCCCCTTCCAGGTGCCGGGAGCACCTCCGGGATAACCCTTTGGTGCCCGCGGCCCAGGAGCCCCCCTGGGAGGGTCTCGGGGGGCTCAGCGGGGCTGGGATGGGGTGTAGGAACACCCGTGGCTCCCTGCAGAGGAACACCCCGGGCTGGTGGAGGGGAAGTGGCACGAAGGGAGGGAACTGGGACAGGGGGACAAATGGGGAACCCGCGGGGGGCTCTGCCCTGGGGGCTGCTGTGTCTCACCATCAACCCCTGCCCCAGGGATCAGCTCTTCCCCAGCCCCTTCCCTCCGCTCCAGCCATCAGGAAAAGGCAAAAGGCTTTGATGGTCCTGGGGGTCGTTTCCAATCGAAATGATCCCATGATTGATTCCCTGGCCCCGAGGGAATTTCCTGCAGCCCCCGGGGAGCTGCAGGACCTGGCTGTGGGTCTGGCAAAGGGAGCATCACGCCCTGGGCGGGAGGCTGTGCCCTCTGGGAAGGGGATGGAGCAGCTGAGGGGAGACTTTGGGTCTGGGTTTCCTGGGAAGGTTTGATTTTTGTCTCTCTGGTAGCGGCTGCTGCAGTGATGCCCCCCACCCCCCAACCGTCACTGCCTGTGAATCCTTCCCTCCCCACTCTTCAAATCCTTCACTCTCTTATAACCTTGGGGTTTTGAAATGGATGACATTGAGCTTTTCCTCCTCCCTGGAGGGTCCGACATCTCCTCTGTGGGAGGACTAGGCTGGGTAGGAAGTTTATTTAGAGTTTATTTGGGATTTTGTGTTTGTGGACACACAGGTGCCAGGCTGGGAACTGCATTTCCCCCTTCCCTCTGCATGGCAGGGATGGGAGGTGGCAAATCCCTCCTGTGCTGGAAAAACCCTCTTGGGCAGGAGCCACTGGAACCATCTGGGAGTGAAATCTGGTTTTCCTCCCTGTTGAGCCCAGTGTCGATGGCTCCTGCCCTGGAACGGTGGCTCTGGGGGACACAGGAAGGCAAGTGGACCCTTCATGATATGGTGTAGCGGGAATGGTGTCATTAGGGTTGGAACTTTGAGGTCGTTCCCACCTTTATGATCCCACAGTTCCGAGACACCTCCGTGACGCCGATGGAGAGCTCGGAGCCCTGAGAGCCGCGTTCCCTCCTCCACGGGAGGGATGAATCCCTCAAAAACGAGCTTCCCGGTAGCCAGGGCTGTTCAACTCCAGCATATTCATCCAAGAGCGGCGCTGGAAGGGCCCTGGAGCCTCCTAAAAGCCGCGGGAACGCGGAGTTGCAGGATATATGGAGGCACTAACCCGGGCTGGCCCCGGCGGCGCCGGGCACCTTTAACGGGCTGCACGTCCCAAACTCCTGTGATTTCCATAAAAGATCCTCGTAAAACTTCCAAATGCCTCTGCCATCGCCTGCTTTCCAGTCACTCCGGGCTCTGATCTCCTTAAAAGCCCTCCCAGAGCCGCTCGGACGGGTCTGCACCCCCCACACCCATTCCCAGGCTGGCTCTGGGATGGGGAAATATTTTAGGGAGCAGCTCTGCGGCTCCCATTTGGCTCCTCGTGACTCCGGGGCTGAGCTTTGGTCAGCACGGCTCGGGACGAGGAGGGAGAACGAGGGATAAAAATGATTTAATGCGACTCTCTGGCTCTCCTGGCGCTGGGAGGGAGCTGCGGATGGAGCGGCATAAAGAAGGGCTGATTTAGGAGCTGCTCTCGTTCGGCTGCTGCTGCTACGGCTCCCCCTGGAGCTCCTGAAATAGCCCGTGCGGGGCGAGCGCGCTTCCCAATTCCCTGGACGGGATCATCCTGAGGTGATCCAGCTGGGATCATCCTCCGGCCCAACCCCGGGCCGTGTCCCGGCCCCCCGGCCCATCCTGGCGCTCTGTTCAGGCCAAGCTTCCCTCCCTCCACCTTGGCTGGGGGAAATAAAACCATCCTGGGCCAGCGGTTGGGACAGGTTTCCTCTCAAACACTGGGAATTCCATCCCGGTGCTGTACAGCCGGGTGGGAGGGGGCGATGGGATGTCCGGGTGTTGCTTCCTGCACTTCCAAAATCTCCTTCTGCGGAGTTTGCCTGGGTTGGGATGCAGGTGGCACTGGAAAGGTCATCCTGGTCTTTCTCCATGTGGCTGTGGAGGATGGGACAAGGGTTTGGCTCTGGCTTTGCTCATCCACCTGCTTCTGGAGCTTTGGGAAAGCTCTTTTTTGCCCCAGATCCAGGGAATTCGGCTCCCTGGGAGGGATGTCCCTGACAGGGCAGCGAGCAGGGGCTGGTTTTCATGGAATCCTGGAGTGGTTTGTGTGGAGAGGGACCTTAAAGCTCATCTCGTTCCATGGGCAGGGACACCTGCCCCGGCCCAGGCTGTTTTTGGGGGGTGGAGGACTCGGCCCCTCTCCCGGGGCAGACACAGGACCCGCCTCGGGACACAGGGAAGCACCTGAGCTGGTTTTTTTAGGAGTCGTTTCTCTGGAAGCTGAACCGAAAGGAGCCTCGGTGGTGCTGCCAGGCCCTTTCCCAGCGTTTCTTTCCTGGTTTTCTGTTGCCCTCTAGTGGGTCCCTGCGCTGGGAAGATGGGCAGAGGCTGGGGGGCCTGGGGGGGTTCAGCTCTGCCTGGAAACCACGGGATGCTGAGGACGGAAAGGAGGGAAATGGGGAGGGGAGAGGGGTTGGCAAACACCAAAGCAGCTTTTCATTGACAGGTCTGATTTTTGGGAGCATTTTTTTCCCCAAGATGTGGGAAAAACTCTGCAGAATTAGGGGTAGAAGGAGATTAGGAAAGGAGAAAAATATCTGGTAAGGGGGAATTTAATTTAAGCAGAAAGGCTGCAGTGCCCTGAGCTGTGATGGGGGGAACAGGGATTTGCAGTCATCCATGGCAGGATGCTCTGGGAATCTTGCCCCATCCCTGGAAGTGTCCAAGGCCAGGTTGGAGCACTCTGGGATGGTGGAAGGTGTCCCTGCCCATGGCAGGGGGTGGGACTGGATCTTCTTTTCCTGCCCAAACCATGCCAGGATTCCATGATCTTCCCCAGGGAACATGCCACAGGCATCCTGAGGCAGCTCAGGAGACACATTCCATGGGGTCCTGTGGCTTCTGTGGGATGCCAGGCAGGTCCCTTGAAGGTTCCTCACCAACCCCCTGGTGCCAGGGAGGAGGAGAAAGGCAGCCTGAAGGAGGTACCTGGGGAGCTGATGCCCCACAACCCCCCCTGCTCCTGCAGAGCTGGAGCAGCCGCAGGGCAAGCAGGCTCTGAGTGCTAAAATCCAAAAAACCACCATCCCTGAGAGGGAAGATGTTCTGGGAGAGGCAGCCGAGCTCGGGAGGTCAGGGAGAGGCTCGTGCAGAGATTTAAGGCAGCAGGGGAGCACAGGGAGAGGGGCAAGCCCAGCCCTGGAGGGCAGGGAGGGAAGGAATTCAGGGGTTGATCCAGAGGGATATCCAGCCCCGGATGCTCTGTGTGCCCCGGTGGAGCCTGTCCCTCTCCCAGGAACTCCGGCCAGGAGGAGGAGGAGGAGGAGGAAGCTTCGATCCTTATTTGCATTTTGCAGCCCAACAGCCCAAGGTGATTTTGATTCCTGCCTTGGGAAGAGGCCGGGAGGAGGTGGAAGAGGCTGATCCCAAGGAGCCCTTCTGCAGAGCGACTGCAGAGGGAAGCAGGGAGCTGCTTTGGGCATCCCTGCCCGGGGCTGCAGGGGCAGCATCCCCAAATCCCGCTGGCCTGGGAGCCCCAAACCCACCTTCCAGCCCATTATTTATGGCCCAGACAAGCAAAATCATGTTTATCCTGGGAAAATTTGGGATGAACAAGGATAAATAAGTCCCTTTTTGCTGTGCTGTGAAGGGCTGGATGATTTTTTTTGTCCCCATCTCCCTTTGGGTTTCTCTGTGTTGGTTTTTCTCAGATCAAACAGGGGAGGAAAGAATTCCTCTGCTCTGGGAGGCTTGGAAAAGCGTTCCCTGTGGGATCTGGGCACTGGGAGGGGGCTGGCAGGGCTGGATTCCCCCAGGGCGAGGGGCCCAGTGGTTTTAACCCCCAATGGGGACGGGCAGCTCCCATTTCCCTTCCCACCCTCCGGGGCTGAACATTTCACAAACCAGAGAGGCAACCGGAGTCTCTTCCCTGGGAAAAGACAAATCCCAGGCAAAACAAAGCCCTGCCAAAGGAGCGTTTGTTTGTGTAGAGACGAGGCTTGGGGCCACGAGTGGCCCTTCCCTGCGTTTTGGGCCTAAAGGGCAGGAATTTTCTCAAAAGAAGGGTTGAATTCACCAGGAAATCCCCCCATGGGGCAGCAGGGCCTGTGCAGGAGGTGACACAGCCCCAGTGCAGGGACACACAGCCCTGTCCCAGCTCACCCACCCATCCCAGCCCACGGGACGACAGAAATGATCCCGGCGCTCCAGAGGGTTAAAACCCCGGATCCATCGGGAGCAAACGGACTGGCAGGCAGAGAACAGGCAGAAAATCCGGATAACGAGCGGGATAGGAAATTCCCTGTCAGTTATTTCTGTGTGTCTGCTCCTTCCCAGGTTCCTCAGTGACTCACACAGAAACCTGGAAACCCCTGCACAGCCCCGGAGGGTGGGAAGGTCCCGGGATGACGGACGGGCAGGGTTGGGGTTGGACCAAGAGCCGGGGGATGGAGGATGTGGGGAGCACACCAGGGGTGGGACACCCTCAGCCACCACAGCTCCACGGACCCCCCAGCAGCAGCAGAGCCGAGGGAGGGGCTCAAAGCATCTCAAAGGTGTGAAATCCAACCAAAGCTCCCCAAAGCTGGGCAGGGATGGGGAGAATGAGCATCTCTAAAGCCTTGACCCCTCCCGTGTTCCATCCTGAGATTAATTACCCGTCTTCATCACAGCTGCAATAATTGCCTCTGTCAGCATCAGGAAAATTTTACCTGGAAAAGCCATCCCTGGCTTCTCCCGACAGGACTGGAAATTTCCTGCCTTCCTGCAAGGCTTTTTTTTTTTTTTTTTTTTTTTCAGCCAGGACTGGGGAAAAAAAAATCTATTTTTTCTAAATCTATTTTTTTTTCAGGGAATTGTGTGGTTGTTTTTCCTGCCACTGGACGAGGAGGCCCCTGGGATATCCCCTCAGCCCTGACATCCATCTCTCTGGAGGGATTTAGGGGGATCACCACTATTTTAGCAGAGCTGTCGGCTTTCCCTGGATTTGTAGAGCCCAGAAATCACCAAAATTTCCCACCTCAGGCCTGGCCAACCCTCTGACAGATGTTTTCTATAAATAACGAAATCAGGAGCACGAAAAAGCTGCAGAAACAGGGAAAGCAAATCCAATTAGGCTGGAGAAATTCTTCCCCAGGTCTGGGGTTAATCATCTCACAGGGCACATTTATAGCAAAATAATAGAGGTTTTTCAGTCCTAATTCAGCTTTTCTTTGGGCAGAACCTGCCTGGAAAGGGGCTTGGGAGAGCATCCCCGTCCCTGTCTCCCAAAATCTTTGTCCCACCTCCACTTTCAAAACGAGGATGGGAAAATCTGAGCCAAACAATCGTAATAAAAAACCAAAACAAAGGGAGTTGCCAAGAGAAGGGGAAGAGCTTTGGAGCGTGCTGGATTTTCTCTAATAACAATAATAATTGATTTTTCTCCTGCTGCTCCCCCGGATTTTGGCTCGGGGTGTCCCCCGGGGGCGGGGCTGCAGCGCAGCTTTCACTTAAATGGACAATTTGTTGCTTTAACTCGCTGAAACCTCAAAAGCCACAACAAGGCTGCAGGAGCTGCTCCCCTCCTGCCTCCAGCGACAGCTCAGCCCGGCCACGGCGCTGGGGGGGCTCAGCCCTTCAAAGACCCCCAGGAATTTTGGGGGAAGGAGGGGAGCTCAGAACCTCCCAGCTCATTCCCTGGTGCCAGAGCTCTTGATCCGGAGGGGCAGGATGGGCAAGGGAAGCAAACCCAGCCTCCAGACAGGGGGTCTGTTCCCAAATCAGAGCAAAAATAAGTGAAGAACAACCAGGCAGCAACTGCTTGGAATATAATGATAATAAAGGAATAATAATAATTAAAAAAGAGAGGGAAATCTTCTCCTGGAGTCGCTGCAGCGAGGCTGGAAATGGTCCTGGGGGGAGCAAAGCTCTGTCCCTGCTCCAAGGGCTCCTGCTGGACTTTGCATCAGGCAGGAATGGGATAAAATGAATAAACAGGCACTGGCAGGGGAAGGAAATCCTGGGCTTCCCCCCAGCATGAGGGGGACTCTGGGAGGTCCCTGGGGGGTCACCCCGACCCCCAAACACCGAGGGGGAAGGACACCCAGCAAGGAGGAGGAGGGGGATGTGACCCCCCCAGCCTGGAGAAGGATAATAATAATCCAAGTCCCAAGGCACAGACTCCTGGAATACCCTGAGCTGGGAGGGACCCACAGGATCCTC